GCTTGCCTCGTTGGACAAAATGGTCAGGTGTTTCGTTTATTCATAATTAATAATTTGTTTCTTATATGCCTTGAGTCAATTTCTTACTACAAACTGATGGCGTTATACGTACTCTTCGCCACTAGCAAATACAAATTATAAAATACATCCTATAATCACCCTATTCACAAAATATTTTTGGCAAATAAATAAAATTTTTCTCGACTCATTCTTTATATACCAAAAGTATCAATTAGCGTAAGGGACATTTTGTCGAAAATGAGTTACATATATCATTGGATTTGGAAGTTCTCGCTCTATCGATTGGTATTATTAAAATTTACGAATGCCCAGTGGTTTAAAATGTAGCATGTCCCTTACATTAATAAACATTAAAAAAAGATGTTTAGTTGTGCGTTACGTTACTAATATTTTATGTGTAAACCGTCGAGCATAGTGTAAGCAGTAAGAGAAATAGAAAATTATACATAATTATAATCTATTTCTCTTACATTAAGGGACATGTTATATTTTAAACCACTGGGTATTCCTGAATCTTTCGTTTCTACCATGAAAGAAGAAGAAATTCTAAGAAACTTTGCTTTAGACACAATCAAAATTGGAGCAGACAGTAAAAAGTTATAGACAGATTTAAAAAAATAAAATCGTTTTATGGCTCTCCTGAAAAACCGTGGTTTGTCCCTTGCATTAATTGATACTTCTGATATCGAATTATTTCAAATCTTGTTCCATTTCATGTTTTCATATCTTTGTGTATTCTGTGTTTTCACGCCGCTTTAGATGCTTGATAAGTATTTCCCGAAGGTAAGTACCGCCACTGCTTTTACATATTCACTTCACTGGTGTCTTAAATCGTACATTTATTTCAATATACTTCTTATGTAATCATATGTTTCTAGTGTTGGCTAAATCTGTTTTAAATTTTAGACTGTCAAAACGTCGCCTATAGATCAATTTGCGGAATGGAATTTTTATAATGAAATTGTAATAGAATAATGAAGTTTAGTTAAATTGTGTAACGTACAAACTACCTAGTTACGATAGGGTAGCTGCACGTATTCCCGAGACTGTGCGAGAACTCTTTGGAAGTTTTTTTTTTCGTTTTTTGGGTTTGGTGTTTGGTAGCAGTAGAGCTGTGAAAGAAATTACCTATTTCTGCCGCCAAGCCGTAATGCGAGCATTACTGCGTTCCGGTTTTGAAGAATAAGGGTGCTGGTGAAATTATTGGCACATGGGGAGCTGTAGGTTGAAGTCAGGTTATAGATTATTATGTCAAAATCGAAGCTTTTTAAAAAGTTGCCTAAAGCAAAATACTTTAGTCTTTACGGCCTGTATTCAGAATGTGCTACTTTTTTGTGAATGGAGACAGCATTGGACCGGTACACTAGTCGTTGGCTTAGCACGCTAGATACGCCTTGGTACGTTTTAAACCATCTTCCTGATAAATTTGAGTTCATGTCATGACAGGTTGTACAAAGCGTTAAATTTGCCAAGGACTTAGAAGGTTTCTGATTGTTCTAAATTACACAAGCAGGACGTTGCAACCGTTTTTGTGACGTCATCTTCTGTCACCTGTAGTAATTGAATGGTACTGTGCATGCGCAGATGCCGGACGTGTCCGAGTTGCTGAGCAACGTCACAGCTCTGCTCGAGTCGAATATCAAGGCGGAAGTGGAGGATGGGCAGCAGGTGTTCCGCAATATCCAGCGCGAGATACAACGCTCCATCGACGAGGACATTCCTTCGGTGCAGGAGCAAATCTCCAATACCGGTAATGTTCTTACTGCATTAATTATGCATATGAAGCCACATTGTAATAGATGTTTATTTCGCTGCTTATCAAGAAAAGTGACTCAAACCAAATAGTAAATTTTTTTACTTATTACATAATCGCGATGATAGCCGAATACAGTTTAGGAAGATATAGGCGCTGATGAGATAGTGTAGCGGTCTCTACACTGTGTTGCCTTTTCTGTTATTTGCGTAAATTATTATTGGAATTCCAAGTTAAATTTTGGTTTTTCTTTCATTTTTGACAAGTACATAAAGTGAATTTTATTGCGAAACCATTAAAACTGATTGCAGTAAGTTTTAAAGATAAAGAATACAAATAGAGTAGGTATACCTTTATTTATAATAATAATGTGCCAAACAATCACACCATTTACTGTTGTATGAGTATAAAAGTATCGAACGTAAATCTGGGTGCACTAGTAAGAGCACCCAGACCGGAGCGACGAATGGATACGAATTCAGAACCATCTCATCCAGTTCTCTATATGGTAACATATTGTCCATCGTGGTTATGTTACCATTGCGAAATTGAAATAGTCCAGAGGAAAATCTTGGCATTTGCATGAAAGTCTCAACAAATAAAATATCCGGACAAAATTCCGACAGAAGGTCAAGACGGTTGATAATCTTACAGGGGCTTGCATTTAGGTCTTTAAATTGAGCATCGTCCAAACAGGTCGTCGACTTGAAGGCGTGGCTGACCAGATCACGTACCTGGCCGGCAACGCGTCGGTGAAGCTGAAGCAGCAGTCGGCGGCCGCCGACACGCTACAGCAGCTGTACGAGCAGTACGGCCCGTACCGCATGTACGCCACTCGCGCTACTGCCGCCGCTCTGCTCACTGTTAGTATACCTCTTGTTATTATTATTAGCAATATATAAAACGTTCATTCAACATAAACATAACTGGACCTCAAAAGTTGGTGAAATTAACATCTATTTACCAAGTTTTACTGCAATCGGTTACCTGAAAGTGCGCGAAATCTGATTCATCCCCTAGTTTGCCACTTTGAATATTTTCTTCAAATTTAAGGGGACCAATACTGAGGTACCCTCTTTACAACAAAAAAAAAACCGATACAGATTCTCAACCTCCTTTTTTTTGAAGTCGGTTAAAAAGTAATTAAGAAAATGTAAATTAAAAGAAATAACAATAATATTAATAATTAACACAATCCAATCAATAAAGCATAGACACATCACACTCAAGTTATATACGTATGGCTTGCGATATGTAAGTATGACCTGTTCTGACAAAAGATGTTCTTTATAACGCACACACTCAACATAGCCCCGCACTAGAGAAACCGTGTATCGCGGTTGCCATGGACACACATAGACAACTACTTGGTACTTGGTACTTGGTGTAACGGGCTAGTGTCCGCAACTCGACGTCAAGGCGCCTATTTTGCGTGTGGTGGGTGCAGGCATAGACAACTACAAATTACACCCAAACTCACGAGAAAAATTCTAGGGTTGGCAGACTGGCAGAGAAAAAGTGCTTCATTTGTTAATATATAATTATATATTTTTTTGTGTTGTTGTTAGTATTGGAAGTTAAATAACCTCTAGAATAAAGTTCGAAATTTATGAAGTAACAAATGAATTTGACTTATGTGCTTTAACTAGTAGATGTATTAATTTAAACGAATGATGTTGGACTTTGACTTATGTGCTTTAGTCCGCCGACCCTAGAATTAATGTAGGCAATACAAATATTTCTCCCGGTCCGGAAATCGAACCTGGGACCTTTGCGTGGCAGTCCGACATGGTAACCGTTCGGTCACAGAGGCAGTTAAGGTATTCATATTTAAAGTGTATTTTGTGATTATAGGCAGTAGGACATAAGATCTAGTGTACACTATAATAATGTAGATTATATTTATAGAAGTCGTTTTCTTCTCTAGCAGTGATTTTAAATAAGCCAACAAAGGATGGTAGTAACAAGAACGGTTTCAGATCCTGGTGGTGCTGGCGTGGGGCCTGATGTGCGGTGTGTGTGGCAAGCGGCCCGACGTCTACGGCGCTTCCGACTGCTGCAACAAAGGCGCTGGCTCCTCTGCACTGCTCTGGTACGTGTCTCACTCCATTTTTGTTCATTTGCACTTAAAGTAGTACATTATGTTTTAAGGGCGGTAAATAAGGAATTACGAACGAGACTCTTATTAGAAGCCCGAAGTCGAAGTCTGAGGGCTTTTGGAGTCGAGGATTGAGGAGGTGTTACGCGGGAGTTTTCCATCACACTTACACGTAAATAGTATTATTGCAAGTAGGCTAACTTGACTATAATGCCCCAAATAAAACTCTTGGGCCTTTTTCTTCTCATTACAGCCATGGTCGGTCATTACAGTCAGTCAGCAACATAGTCAAGTTAGCTTGCGTGCAATCTTACTATTTATGTTCAAGTGTAATGAAAAGGCCTCTTTTAGTCCTTGTCGCGTCTATGACTACTGTTTTGATGTATCAACGAACAGCGGCAACGTAGACCGTAAGATATCATCTGATACCACGATAATATGTTCAGAAAAATGATGCCAGATATATGTTAGTCAATATAATGTACATAGGAATTATTCAGAATTGTGGAAAGTGTATCTATTGCCGAAATAATATTAATGGCACAAGTATTACCAGGAACTTTATCAAGTGATATTAAATGACTTGCGAATATGTTATTAATAAACTTTTTAACTCTCTATGTATCTTTCAACTAGACTTTAGTTTCTAATTTGTGAAGTCCGTACCATATGTAACTGGGGTATGTACGTCTGCAGCGGTATGGGGCTGATGTTCGTGCTTGGCGGCGTGGTGTCGCTGGTGCTCCTGGTGTACTTCCTCGTCGGTGTGGCCGGCACACGATTCGTCTGCGACCCGCTCACGTCAGTACAAAGCTATAGTTTTGGCATTACTTACTACTGCATTGTTATTGGAAGATTCTCGTAAAGCTTAAGGAAGCTTAAAAATTGTTTGTAACAATATTGACGACACGTTGCTATTAATTACATAATTGTTTGTAAAAATGTAGACGTCGTATTGTTACATTTGTTTGTAACATAATGTTCGAGTAGTTAAACAAATGTTTGTAACAATGTAGATGTCATAATTTGTCTAACAACTGATGTATTATTGTTGACGTCATAATGTTTTGAGCAATTACACAACAACAATACAGACGCCATATCGTTACAATTGTTTGTAACACTAATCTTCGAGTAATGAAACAATTGTTTGTAAGAATGTAGACGTCTTATTGTTACAATTGTTTGTAACTTGAAAAATTTGGCCATCGTGATGTAATGAGTAGTTAAACAATTGTTTGCATCATTTATTTGCCAGCGAAAAATAGCATTACAGCTGAAAGAAGCATAAATTTAAGCTTTTCATTACATTTGTTAATTTTTTGTATCAGAATGTAAAAGTTATTCGGAATTTTTATCTTTAAAACACGGTTTTTTAACCTTTTTCTAGTCATGGACCCCTCTGAAAATGTCAAAGAGCCCATAGACCCTTTCCAAAAAGATAAAAAAACTAGGTTTAACTTTTACTAGCTAATATTGTTTGCGATAAAACTTTACATAATTACATATGAGTAGTAGTGGATGGTTTGCTGTTCCAATACGTTAGGTAGGGTCGTCCGTGGCGAGCCTACCTAACATATTGGAACAGCTCCGGCGTTCATTACACGAGTCCACATGGATCACAGGTTAAGAAACCCTCCTATAAAATAAGACAAGTTAATAGTGTAATGGCTTATGTGGCGCAGCGAGCCGCGCGGCAACCGCCTGTTCGCTGACGTGGAGAAGTTCGTGGATCTGGAGCGCGCGCTGTTCAACGAGCGGTCGGACTCCGACTTCAATCTCACCTCCGTGATGTTACGGTGCCATAACAATGGGAGTATCTACGAGGTGATCATATATTGTTATTTTTAATAATTAAACTTACTCGTATCTCTACTTATTTTTTTATAATACTAAGTGACGGGACGAACAAGTCGTGCGCCTGATGGTAAGCTACACGCCTGTCCGTAACAGTTGCAGTGTCACTCATCACTAAGAGAGGCACTGCCACTGCGCCTGTCACTCTGAGGCATAAGTTGACAAGTCCTATGTGCCTGTAAATTCACCAGCATCTTTGAAAACCGGAAGCAGCAGAAATAGGTAAGGAGACAGTACTGCTCTGGACGAACACTTTCACAAGGAGCTCTACTGCTACTTAAGGTGATAATAATAGTCGTTCATATTGAATAATTTGTGGAGTCCGGAGCCTAAATTAGGATACCCTGAATGTTAACTTCTTGTCCTGAAGATTTAATTGACATTTATAAGTCTATGGAAACAAATATATAAATAGGGAGAAAGATACAAAAATGTTATATAAATGTGTCTACGTGGGTTTGTTTCAAAAATTTCTTTAATGTTAAAATAATACAAATGATATCGAGTTCTTAGGTTTTCGCGATTGTTAACATAGGAAATGAAACTATTTTTCCGGATTTAAATCGCGTATATTTATCGAGTTCTTAGGTTTTCGCGATTGTGACACATAGGAAATGAAACTATTTTTCCTTAATAATAATAATAAATTAAACTTAATAAAAATTCATTCAATAAAATAATTTGTAAAACTTAATGTAGCGTAAATTGGAATGTTTTCTTTGTAAAATTGAAAATAAGGTATTTAATTAATAACTATTGTAACTATAGTGAAAAAATAGGGTGGTTTGCATTAATATTAGAAATAACTGGTTGAAGACTGTACCACCTCAGTCAACCGTGACCATGGGAACTGTAACGGGCACGAAACGTTGGTTTGATTTAAATCCGGAAAAATAGTGTCATTTCCTATAATACAAATGAATTGCAATTACGAGGAAACGACTCGGATAGTACCTTCGTCATACGCGAGCGGTATAAGCGAGTTCCCGCGCTGCAGGTGTTCCAGCTGCACCGGCTGTACGACCTGCAGGCCGTGAAGGCGGAGATGTCGGCCGAGGTGGAGCGGCGCGTGGCGCAGCTGCGGCCCGCCTACGCGCCCGCCGCGCGCGCCACCATCCTGCGCGACTCGGCCAAGCGCAAGCTGCGCCTGCTGGCCGACACCGGCCTCTCCGACTTCGACTTCGACCGCATCCTGCAAGCGGTCAGTGGCGCCCGACCCTCTCTCTCCACTATTTTAATAATGCGGTGTATATGGCCAATTCCATGCAGGCTATAAAATTTATTTATTTATTTCATCTTTTTGCACAATACATTCGTGTACAACAGTGGCTGAAAAGGTTGTAACCCTAACAAGCCGTGACCAGGTTCACGGTAGTAAAACAGAAAACGTGCGGTCCACAAATTTATTAAAAGTCGGGTTAAGAAGAAATGGTAACAAAGAAGTAAGGAGTAAGGCTGTAATAATAAAAAGCTATATATAAAAAAAAAGAAAAACTGGTACATTAATATAAAACACTTCCTAACTTAATGATGATGAATATAAAGAGTTAAAGTAGACACTTACCCCTAAAAGGGTCGAGATATACTAAATTACAGATACGTATTCATAACTACATGATAAGGCTGTAGACTGATAAACTTATTACATTGATACATTATTTAGATTATATTATAATGATTATAACTTGGTAAAAGAATCAAAATTAGACGTGAATAAATTTAAACAGCTCTGTCCGCTGTCGCGATCGAGCAGGAAGTAACGATGGAACGAAACAAAATCAGAATGCAAGGCAAAATAACTATGGACAATTCAAAATTTAAATACGAGTGGCCAGGAACCGGAGAAAGGCGATAAAAAGGTGGGATGACGATGTAAGGAGGTCACACCGTCACAAGGCATTCTCTACCAGTCCAATGGGGCCTAACAGAAAAAGAAATATCAAGTCTTAATTCTATGGTTAATTTATACAGTATAAAATAAACATAATACAGCATAAACATACTTTACTCTGCATAATGTTGCTGTGGGTACATATATATTATTAATTAATAATATATATGTATGTAATAATATATATGCACAGCAACATTATGCAGAGTCCTGTTTGCGTAATTTGATTTATATAATTTGTTTCGTGTTTAAGAGACTTCGTATTAAATGTGTTGAATGAATCACTTTGGAAAAAATGTATAGTAAAATTGAGGATATCTGGCGTCCAAATAACCGTTTTATATAGCAAAAAATAGAGAACAAATTTCTTTTTTAAAAACAGTTAAAATTAGTTAACGGGTTCGACTTATCGGAACTAAATAGAACACGCATACTATACGATATACATTTTTCAACGACTTAAATTTCCCCCAAACAAAATGACCTTATTAATACGGGAAAAGTTTGGATTCGGGCTGACGTAGTGTAGACTCTTAAGAACGTACTACAATTGTTAATAAATAGACAATAAGTGGTGTCAAATGTTGAGACACAACACTTACTCCTCAACACAGGTTATACCTAGCTCCGGTGTAAGGGACTTAATTACTAAATTCTGAATTAATAAATGAATTTCCCTTCGATACCTTGGACGGAGCAATACGTCCGAAACGTCGAGGTAAATAAAATATGTTTTTATACACTATTAAATTTGTTTCTGGTGTTGTGCGTATGAATGTACAATTATGGAATTCTCTATGCAGCTGGAAACGAACATGACCTCTCTGGCGCTGGACTCTCTATCCGCCCAGTTGGACAGTACGGGCCGCTCGCTTCAGGCGCGCCCCGGCTTCGAAGCCGTGGCCGTGCAGCTGCGCAACGCTTCGCAGCGCCTCTCCGCCTACCACGCTGACATAGGTGAAGCCGCACTCCCGTTCACACTTGCTTTTTTTCAGAAGACTAAGAGGAAATTAGAACACGAACGTCTATACACCAATGATCCGTGTTGTTTTAAACGGACCTATAAAATTGTAGGAGGTCACGATCGTTAGTTTGTTCTGGAAAGTATTTTTTTTTATAATACCAAGGACGGAACGTACGTGTCGTGCACCTGATGGTAAGCGACACGCCTGTCATAACAGTTGCAATGACCCTCAAAGCTTTAAAACACAAAGATCTGAGGGGAAGTTGCCACAGCGCCCGTCACCTTGAGACATAGGTTGATAAGTCTCAGGTGCCTGTGATTTCACCATTCGCTCCTGTCACTAAAATGATTGATATGTGTTTAGATGGTTTGTATCCGCAATACGTGGTTTGCTTAAGCCATAGAAATACCATTGAGAAGTTTGTCATGTTTATGTTTAAAATGGAAGGAAACGCTCACTTGTCAGCGTTATCCGCGTCGCAATTTCAACGTAGTTGAGTACATCGCCATAAATAGCGGCCATGTGTTATTTGTATGCATTAAAGTATAATTGTGAATGTTGAATGGGAATACTCATGTCAGAAAAAAAAAACAATGGATACACACAATAAGGCATTTTTCTACCATTTTATAGAATTTGCGCTAAAGAAGTGACACAACTATAACGTACAAAGCGATAATGGCGGATTGAGCTCAAGTTATCGTAACTATGCATGCAGTTGGCACGCGTGTTACGCTTACTTACCACTTATACTTACTTAATGGTGAAGGAAACATAGTGATGTTGCCAAAGCTGCATTAGGCTAGCATGGCGGACTAGTCTAAGGAGCTCATCAGTGAGACGTTGGCGGGCGGACATTGACGAAGTGCGTGCGCAGTGACGCCCATGCTGCGCGACGCGGCGGCGCTGAACGCCACGGCGGCGCGCCTGCGCGACACGCTGCGCTTCAACCACTCGTCGCTGAAGGAGGCCATCGCCTACCTGCTGGACGAGACCGCGCAGGCCGAGAACTTCCTCAACACGCAGGGGCCCGATCTCATACAGAACGTCAGTATAACGGCGTCCTATTTTCCCCTCTTCTCTCCCCTTGTGTCACGAAATACAAAGTAATACCAATACACTGTACAAGAATTACAACAAGAAGAACTATTTTCTGTTGATTACGCAATTCTTGTCGTTTTCACGTCAAGAATTTTATCAAAATGTGACTTCATTTAACGAAATTCTTCCTTGTCACAACAGTATTCATCTTCTAACTTAATAAATCATCATCTTTATAAATCATGTTTTATAAACATATTGTATAATTAACCAGATGTATAATGAATAAACAATAATATATTTTATACTTTGTATAATTAAATTTACTAAACACTATGCAATATTAGGACATTAGAAATATGATTGGTCAAGGGGATAGATGGAACTTGTATTGCCCGTGTATTGCAGATGACCCGCGAGTTCGCGGAGGTGGTGGCGACCATGCTGGAAGAATACCTGGAACGCGTGGTGGTGGCGGCCAACCAGGAGGTGGGCCGCTGCGGGCCGCTGTCCTCGGCCTTCAACGCCACGCGCGACGCCCACTGCCACAAGATACTCATGCCTGTGGTACGACACCGCGCTCTGATCACTTCATTAAGAACGTCTCACGACCTTCTACGTCGAATATGGAATAGATATATACAGTATAAAAACATCTAGAAAATATAGGCAGTGAAATTTCTCTCGTTCACCTTTTTCTAATGGACGACAGAATAGTAGTTGCCAAATTTTGACCAATGCTATTATACTAGCAACTTAGGACTCTAAGGATAAATTGTTCAGTTTTAGCGATAAAAATTTTTATTCTCGATTTTAAGCTTCATATAGGATGCAAAAAAAGAAGCAATAACGGAAGTATAATCTCCAGAATGGTTACTGGATGGCGCTGTCGTGGTGTGTGTTGTTGTTCGTGCCGGTGATGGTGGTGGCGCAGCGGCTGGCGAGGCTCTACTTGCACGTCGACCCCTACCCCGGCCCGCTTGTTGAGGCGTAAGTACGCCCTCTATCGGACAACTTAGCACCTGTACTACTTGCTAATACGCTGGCTGGCGACGGACTCTCTCGTCCACTAAGCAGTTCAATTCCTATGTGTTCTTTATAATCGCAGTTTTTAAGAGAATCGGCGGCTTGGTGGACATGAGAGCTTGCCGTCGGCGTGTGACGTACGGTTAGAGACAAATCTTGCGTTCGATTGTAAAAAAGGAAATATTTCAGTACAGTGCGCGCGCGTGAATTGTCTGACTGACTCTTCCCTGGACTAAGAAGTCTACCATAAATTACGACACAGACTAAGAGGAGGGGGTAGTCTTAAAAGTGTTGCCCTTTTTGTGACAACAGTTAATAGTATAAAAATAATATTGCCATTGCAGTTGCGAAGTAATTTAGGGCGGAATTAAAGTGAGAAGCCTTCTTTGTTGTATTGTAATTTATGGTGACTTCTCAAAGTTATTTAAACGCATTGACTCTGTGCCCAGCGTACAGTGACAGACCACAACGCCCAAGGTAGAAGACAAAATTGTTTTAAATTTCTTAATGTTCCGAGAGTACTGTGCTCTGCTGTGTAATAATATGGACCGATAAGTCAAGAGGACTGCTAATCGCGGTACAAGACATTGTAGAGGGAATTTAGAACCCCTTGGTATTCCAGATGTCAGGACGAGTGCATTGACGAACTACAGTTTATCAAAGTTACTCTAATTTCTAGTGATAAGAAACAAATCAACTAGATGGCGCTTATTGCAAAGATTTTTATGGATACTGCCGGCTATTCTTTTAGATTGTTTAGGATTAACGCCATCTGTCAATACTAGCAAGCGTTAATTTATAAATCAAATGTCAACGTTCAGAAAATAATTTTAGCTCATCCTCAATATTTGAATAATATTACAAACAAAATAAATGACTACTTATATTCCGTATTAAAGAGGTATTAATTGATATTCACGGCCATTTATATAATATAAACTACTTCCAGCCTGTTGATCAGCGCCATCTACAAATAGACGTAATTATGACCTTTTTCAGAGTTACGTTCTGTAGTGTGGACATTAGCAGTCCATTTGAGTGGTTGGTCTATGGTAATAGTTACACAGTATCTGACATTCATAATCTTGGCACTTATGTTGTGCACTGAGTCAATAGTCATAAATTGTCCTACTTATATAAATTTTTGTTCCATGTCTAGTAGAACAGAAATAATTTTACATGTGGTTAAAAATTTTAATCAAAAGATTGAATAAACAAATATATAGATTGACTTCCAGTAATAGTCTTTTGTCATATAAAAAATATTAGATGTAGCGGAGATGTTGAAATCAATATTAATCTAATGTACCGTCGGCAGCACGGAAATCTCAACCTCACCGCGTTCGTTCTCTTTGTGTGGATTTCACTGCCACCGGTTGTACTTTCCATCTGACATTTTTATATGACACTTTGTTACCATAGAAGTCAAGGTATACAGGCTAAATTGCAGTGAAACTTGGATAATTTTTGAAAATTTCCAAACTGTGTCAATTCGAGCTAACGCAAATTAGACTAAAATGCACTAAACTATTTTTAATTTAGCACGTAGTACTTTCCGTTCCGGTAAAAAAAGAGACAGTAGATTATAATTTATTTAAATTTAGAATTCGTTGATGCCCCATAATATTAGAAAGCGTTGTATTGCAATAGTGTTCTTTTAAATCAAAAACAAGTCGAAACTTTATAGTTTTAAATTGGAATTAAATCTTCTGTCTGTTCTTATTGAAATGGAAAGCAACAGATGCATCTAATAATTTGCGTTTGCTCGAATTGTCGCTATAGTTGCGAATGAAATCCAGAGTGTCACTTGATTGTAGTCTTCATTTAAAAAAAAGTCGTTCATTCACCATCATTATTCTTTTGAGTTGTTCGCATTAAAGGCCACGCATACCAACATTTGAGATACTCACCGGTATGCGCCGGCTTTATGCGAGCATTTATTTTCTTTAATTTTCTATTTTTGTTTACTAATTTGAGTTTGTTGAGTCGCTGTGTTAACAGTTGTTGAGTTCGTTGGGTTTGTTTTGCACCTCATCCTGTATGTAGTGGGTTGGCCGTCAGCGGCGATGTTGCCACTCCGGTCTCCTGCCGAGAGAGGGGGACCTCCAAATTAAATCAAACTCGACGTAGCGGGACATGTCTTGTTGCGGTGGATGACGATGTTACGTCCCACTTTTTGTCCTAAAATGTGTGTACGAGATTCATTTATAACGAATTGGCAAACGAATTGTGTGATTCTCCCGCTCTCTCGCTGGCGATTCGTCGCCGCGGAATGAGCACGTCTCTGTGTGGTTGAAGAGCTTGCGTCGCTTCCTTTTTATATTTACCTACCCGACCATTACAAAGTAGGTATGTTGTACTATACGTAACACTCCATGGATACTGACAATACAGACTGATATTTACCTTCGAGAAATGAATTTGTGATACAAGATATTCTCCAGAGCTTCTCTATTTGATAGTTAGATGTCTTGTTATATTTGGGTGTTTAATTTTTCATATTATTTTGTTTTCACTCATCGCCATTCGAGCTCACTAGCGTAAAGTGCGGGGGTAGATGACTTGGGTGGGGTGTCCACGTGGCACATGTGGCATAGTTAGCGATATGACATAGATTGTAACGTGTGTGGTGGGGTGTTCTAGCAGCGAGTATGAGCCGATGTGTCGCCCGCGCGGCTGGTGGCGGTGACCCAACGACTCGTCCGGTAACCGCCTTACTCTAGCGCCCATTGCCTGCTCGACTTTCCCTCATAATACACCCGCCGAATGCTGTCGTGCCGATGCACATTTCAAGAACTCCTCAAATGGTTTAAATTTCAAGCCCGATTTTCAATTTTTCAACTATGCAATATTGTCCCTTGCAACTCTATTTTTATCATTTATATCTATATTTATCTATACAAATTATTTACATTTAAAAAATATGACATGAAATTGTGAATTCAACTACGTACTTAAATAACTTTTGTTCGTCTTGCAAATCGGAGGAGACGAAATATAGTTTCGATATCGGGACGGCAGCGTACCGGCGCGTTAGTTCGTGGAGTGCTCTTCGACCTCATAGCGGCTTGCACATTCACTTTTGCTCATTCGACCCCCTGACATTCCACTATTCCAATCACACTTTCTGCATGGGATAAATGTGCTACCCCAACAAATTGGTCTTTACTATGTCCGTTCAAGATAACTTTTCCAATGAGCAAAGGTCTCTTTATTATGTCGCCTCGTAGATAGGCGACAATTGAGCATAAATGTCAGCAGCCGCGTAGGCATACATTGCTTGCGTTCAGTTCATTGAAGCTAGCTGCATCATCGTAACTTCTTACTATAGCCGCGTTGTACCGCGAACTGTCGTAGATTGACATTCATTGTTGTATAAATACTTGTGAATAGAGGCACGTAGGTTGTTGTATTTTAGTTACTTCTCGATTGGTTTGTTTCTTTTGTTTCACATCGACCATAATCACTATCAGGTAGAGTAAAATTTTACATGTCGTTAGATAAAGCTAGCATAACTATAAGTATACTATAGTAATAGTGTTCAGTACAATCGATTGATAATTTTTATCGTTCTTTAAATTCGATAAGGTATATATCACTTTTTAGGTTCATGTCTATAATAGGCGCTGTTTAAAGACCTGCAAGTTCTTGCTAAATCTTGAATTGAAGCTTGTTTTCTTCGGAGATGCCTGTCAATGTTGTGAGTGGAGACTTCGCTTGACGTCTGCACTTGTCACTTTTTCTATGGCCAACCATAGTACAGATTGTTGCGTGTTATGTAAAAGTTTTGGGAAACATAAAATAGATTTTAACAAATAACGCACGTAGATGGCATATTTATCCGGTGCCAAATATGGCATATTTATCCGGTGCTAAATTCTGTTTCATATGAAATGAAAAAATAGTTTTATTTCGTGTTTTTTTTTCAATCTTGAATTTTGATAAACATACCACATAAGGATGTGGCATATAAACATGTTGATGACAGGAGAGCTTATAGCTTTACAATTTTTGGAACTGCTACCTTACCTAATTCTGCAACCAAAAAAAAAGAGCACACAGGCATATGGGACTTGTCAATTTATGTCTCTGAGTGTTGGACACAGTGGCAGTACCCCACAGATTTTTTTAATTTAAAGCTGTGAGTGGCACTGCAACTGTTATGGACAGGCGTGTAGCTTACCAGTAGGCTCACGACTTGTTTGTCCCGTCACTTAGTATTATTAGAAAAAAGAACATCCAGATCAGAATAAGTTTAGAAAAGTCCTCATCAAGTGCTCATAATAATAACCACTGGGTTACCATTTTAAGAAAGTGATAGTGTGGGAATTCTAAAAACAAAAAAAATATTTTCCAAAAGCTGTGAGCAAAAGTAGCACGTTTCATGAAAAAATATTTAATCGTCAACAAAAGTATGTACTGAACAGCACCTGTACTTTTGTCGGTTTGGAGAGTTGCTTATGACAAATGTTGATGTAAGCGGAGGTCCGTCGGTGTCGCTACCGCGGCCACTGACCGTCTGTTGTCTGTTGCAGCGAGTATTTGTATGACGCGTACGCGGACCGCGATAACGTACCCCTTGCCAAGTAAGTGCCCCACGACAACACTGCCCTCTTTCCTAGCCACCCCAGATCCCTGCCTGTTTGGCCTGGCATGCGCTTTTACTTATAATTGAAAACCGAGTGTGCCCACAAGTTTATATCAATGGTGACTTATCGTGACGCAGCGCCATCTTTGTACAGTGGGAAAGTTGCGGGCACACTGTGCATGTTTAAATCGCTTCTTTGATAGAGATCCTTTTTCAGTTATTAGATTCTGGTTAAAATGTAATTTAGCAAATAATGTAAGCAGAAAATGTAAAAGTTTATATATAATTATCTCGGCTAATGTGCGACGGAACCAAAAATATCTATGTATAATATGAAAGAAAATATGCATGTAATACTTTACTAATAAGAGCACGTATTGAATACTGTATTTATAGTTTAATAACGCATGTGCCCAGCATGTATGATGACAACAAACTGTTAACTTATTCTCAGTTCTTTCTGTTTCTTTTCTTCTTTTCTGTTACTCGATGGCAGGGCTCACACCGTCACTGTTAGGGCGCGCGCAAAGGTACATCCGAGGACGAGCCGACGCTAATCGCGTCGGTCCTCGGACGTATCTTTCACAAACGAGCGCTACGAACGATCGCGATAAAACGACGCGGCCGGAAGCCGGCATGTAACCGAGAAGGACGTTTGCACTGCGGCACGTATAGGGGCTCGAAGCGCAGCACGCTGGACATCGAGGGCAAGATCGCCGAGTGGCGCGGGCGCGCGCTGCCGTCGGCGCCGCCCGCGCCGCTGGCCCCGGGCGAGGCGCCCTTGGCCGGCGCCGCCGTGCGCGGCTCGCGCACGCAGCTGCTGCTGGACGGCCAGGACGTGGTCTGCCAGCTCGTGCCGCCGCCGGCCGCGCTCATCGACGACCTCAAGACGCGTCTGGACGCCAAGGACGAGGACAACGAGTCCGGCATTCACGAGTCCGAGTAGGCGCACGGCCCTGCCACTGTCGATATCGATTTTGTACGTTTACCTTGTCTTAGTGTTTAGGAGCTTCTTTCCTTGACAACTAAAGTAAACTCGTCGTCGAAGTTTAAATGTAAAATAAATATGTTGAATAAAAATAACAGAGCCACGTACGTGATGTTGTTCAATATATATTTATTTAACATATTTATTTACTTTAAAATAAAGAACTTGATTGTCGCATATGCGATGAAGGCTCGGAAAGTAATAGAGTTGATAAGCTATTTGTTGGTTTGTTATTTACTTAAATGTAATATTAAAAAATGTGATCTGTTTTCAAACATTCGGTGCAGGCAATTTGGAATCTTAACAAGGTTCTTTTTATAGACGAGCTGTCAAAATTGCCGTAACTAAAGTACATTGCTTTTTTATTTACGTATTTGTCTTCCAAAATCATTATGTACACTTATCAGTCCAAATGTGAAATTTATTCATATCAGATACGTAGAAAATGCAGATATTTCTGCACTTATTTTAATAAGTAAATATTTTATAAACCATACTTTGTTACTTTAGACACAATTTACATGCCATGAAAAGAATTCGTTCGTAACATAATAACCTTTATACCTGCAATTGTAATAACGTAACGTATAAAGTAAATACGATACCGTAGCTGCGGAAATTCCGCGAGAACGATTTCTTGCGAGAAAGATGTTGTTTGTCTGCCCGTATCTAGTTTGCACGTTACACAGTTGATATAAAACATAGTTCATGATGCTATGGTTCCAAAAATTTGCTTGATGTAAACCGAGTCTAACATTCGATATACTATTGACTGGTTTAACCCTGAAAGTAAGAACCCTTGTTCTAATTATACAGGATGATTTTAACAATCACTCTGTTATGTTAGTCATACCTTGTATAACTACATTAATGTCCATTGCTTCGCTTTATACATAACGAAAGACGTCCATTGCATCGCCTGCCTCGCCATACAGTTAAGTGAACTGGACATACACTGGATTTAATGTACATATAATACGTCATCATCCATACGTAGCTTCTCAATTGAGATGATGATTCGAATCCCATAGCGTCATGTACAATCGATGTCCTAAGATACCTGACCCTCTATCCGAGTTTTAGGTTCTGAGAGCCTTGAGAGTTCTTCCGCATTCAACAGAAAAGTGTAGAAATATTCCAGTTTTTTGGTTGTGTATTTATGGAATGTAATTGAAGATCAAATTGGCTTAAAAAGTTTCTAAAACGTCATCCGTTTTTGGTGCAATAAGGCTCAATTTTTTGGCTCGTATCTAGTTTGCACGTTACACAATTAATCACAAAGTTAATTATGCCATGTACAATATCGTTATAAAAATTCGTCTCCGTTCCGTTTCACCGCAATATAAATTGAGCCTAAGAAAGTCATGAAAATGAATCTTACGGCTCACAGCTTAAAGGTTAAGTTTGTTTAACACCTTTCTTCAGTCTGATCCACTTACAACCAAATAGTAAATTAGGGGGTCCGGTTTCTTATAGCATCGATTGTACTTAGTATTTTATATTATTAAACTAAGTTTTTTATATTTGTGATTGTTAATTAGCAATAAAAAAAACCGTTAAGAAAAGCATAATGATGAGTATGTCGTAGACCAATCCGATAAAATCTCTTCTTAGAGATGACCCGTGTCCAGACGCGTAATAGGTTGATAATGATGATGTACTCATTCACACCGAACAAAGTGATGTTTCTTTATACAAAATTCGTTATTAGAAAAAATATATATTCCTCATTTATATGGCACCTTTCGGGTAGAAATGTACGGTGGAAATTTCAAAGACTGGTTTAAATTTATATTTGAAAGACGGGTCAGCAAGGAAGCTATCTTAACCGTCATAGGTACAGGAAAATGGTGCCTAACTTAACCTAACCTTGCTAACCCCTCTCTATTGTCCACTATTTTTATTTGTATTATAAGTTAGGTACAAACTCGATGACCCCTTACAATTTTATCCGCACCATATACAAAATTTACCGAACCTTCACTTTGTAAATGTAAAATTAAAATCACGTTGTCTATGGATTCGTATACCTTTACTGGGTTTTTTATCTCTCAACAAGCTGCCAGTAAAGTAGTAAAACAGTTTGTTCATAATGATGAACTTCCCTTGTAGATTTTACCCAGTGAATGTCTTTTTTCAAAACCAGTATACTACAACGCAACGCTTGTACAACTTGATCTAAAAACGTAGGTATATAATACAAAATTATATTCATACTGTAAGTCAATATACGATTATAAGTTATAATGCAAAATCATATACCTGTAGACATTTGGAAAAACTTTATCGAAGTTTTGATACGATTGTATTATAAGGAACATTTGTACGAATTTACAATTGTTAATTAGGCGCACGCGCACATCAAGGGATAGAGGAGAATTCAATATTTTCTTACATCATATCACTACAACGTAGATAGGTTTTTCAACAGTAAGGGAACTAAAAACATCGTAGGAAAGATATTATCGTGCCGATTATTCAGTCTTACGCTATATTATAAAACATCTCTACGGATTACACAAACCTATAACAGTCCTGAACCACTTTTGATATTGTAGTTAATTTCCTACACGGTTAAACAATTAAACTCTTGTTTATATTAATGACTACATAGTAGTGGCGAAGGGTGAATGGGTAATTTTCAGGTTAATTTTCTCTGTAGAATATTATCATAAAGTATATGTATGTATAACATTCGAGTATGGTATCCTGAAATATATATTATTTAACATTTCACGATAATATATTCGAACATTTAAAATTAAATAATAAAAAATACCACCGCAATTAGGTAGAAAAATTAACTTGAATGTTACCAGAATATTTTAGTTAATGTGATATGCTCCAATGCAGGACGTTTTCCGTTCAATACTTACTAAGTTGAGAAATCAATTTCGACATGCCAATGGCTACCGTGCAATGTGGACCCTTTGCCACTGCCTTTAATGACGTGTGTGAATAGTAGTTGCTGATCGTAGACTCGTATAAATAAATAGCTCCTAAGTCCGACATTAAATGCGTATTCGGTGAATTATATCTCAAGCTGTTCTGTGTTAATAGACTATAATTGTATTGTATGATACTGTCTCATGTAATCAATACCCTGTGTTACTTAATAACTACCTAAGGTGTAGATTACGTGTTACGTAATGTACGAGAGACGGCTGAACAGTATCTGAGTGTTACTGAAAAAAATGATACTACTTGCTATTGTGGCGTAATATAAATTAAATTAATTTTTTTTTCAAAATTAGTGACACTCTTTCGTTTTTCGTGTGTTGTTTCCGACATGTGGCGAACGAAGAAAGCTAAATGTTTAAAAATTTACTACTTATTTTGCACAGAAAAATTCACAAGATCTGCTAACTCGTTCCGTAGTTGAGTTGGGAGAGCGGTAGCCACGGATAGGTCCAGCCGGATCGTGGGAATTTTTCTTCGTGTTTGTTCGATCATTGTACCAATAATAACAACTACTTTTTTATATACAGACTTATGACAACAAATGAAATAAGTATATTTCCATTGCAGGGATACTGAAAAAAAGTAGGCATGATTGTATATCTCATACTTTCTTCTTTTGTACTGGTTTTGGCGCTACAGAGTTCCCTTTAGTTTACTTGTAAGCCATTTGTTGATAAAAATTCGATTGATGCTTGCCCGCCGTGGCGGCAACAGTACTGTCTGCTACCGCTGGTTAAATCCCTTTGCGGGGTCCGGATGTTGCCTGACTACTCAGCAATCAATCAATAACTAATAATTACTGTATTATTTATGTACTATTTGTAAAAGCTATCAATAAAGTTATTATTATTACTTTTCAGTCGCCGCTCGTATATTAATAAGCGGACATTTTGATCTTAATATCTTTCTTATTTTGGAGATGGGTTTATTAATACGAGGCTTAATTGATTATAACGCTTGATTAACGTATACAAAGCCATTGTATCTTATGTATATCTATATTTGCCACAAATAATGTATTTTTAATAATAGTATAGAATTTATTAATACTCTGTATGTTATTGGAACCCTGTATAGTTAGCATTCATGAAATGATGCACTGCAGTGAATTGACGTAGGCTCGGAACGAGATTAGTTTGTCTCTATCTATATTTAGGCAGGCCTCAGAGCAGTGCGTAATTATGCAGTTACGTTAGAAAATAAGCAACATTTGATAGTGCTGGATTTTTGCAGCGGATATAAAAAAAATTATCGAAATCTTTAAGCACTGCACTCGTATTATACAAGGTGCCTCATGGTTATGGGACACGGAGGCAAAGTACATTAAATGTTATAGATAGGATGTTTTACTTCATGGACTTCGTTATTTTAAAAATAAAGGTACCTCCAGTGAACACTACACCAACTTTATTTTTGGTCCTTTTTTGTAATTTTTGTAAACAGCCATATTTATTCTCTGATATTATGCCCATGAATGTTGCGAAAAGAAACAAAAAATAAATATCGAAAAAAACAAAAAAAAACAATTTTGTGAAAAAATGAAATAAAGAACAAAATAAAAACAGAATAGGTCCAAATCGATCTGGTTATCGAACCGAATAGTAGGAAAAAGCACCTACATTTTTATAATGCCGATTGAGGACGAGGGGCCAATTGTAAGGATTAATTCCTAATAAGTAACATTATTATCTTAAATTAATGTGGTTAGTTCGATTCTTAGATGAAGCAAGTAACTTTTAAATGTACTTGAATGCAGTATTACGATAATGTAATAAAACAAGTAATGTACGTACACGCTTAGTAGTGGCTTGTATGTAGGCGCGTGTGACAATCAGCATTGTGCAACGCGAATGCATCGCGAGATAACGCGAATGTTTGCGTCCATACATGGCACGCGACGGGCGCGCACACATACAAGCCACACTGTAACGTTTGTATTAAGTTACCATACGTGTCTTAGGATGCTAACAGATTGACTTCATGCATTAACTGCATGCAGTCGATCTCGGTTGCGTGAAGTCGGCTTAGACTGCTTGCAATTCATGCGTGAAGTTGTTATTCGAGACCTCGACTGCGCGAAGTTGATTACGACTTCACGTATTAACTGCAAACATGCAGTCAAGTTGTTAGCAGCCTATTAAGGCGGTGTATACTATGGTATTACTTACTTTTAAAAATAATTTAATGTCACCGTGAAGCTAAATATTCTATGTACAATATTTAAAATACTTTTCCTCCGTGTCCGATTTGCATAATATGACATTTGCATTGTTGATACCAGATCACAAATTTACGAGTAATCAGCTTTTCCATATTTATTAGAAATTCTGTTACGGATTATACTGTACACGAGAAAGTATAGAGTACATTCCGTAACAGAATACAATACCTTTGCCATAAAATTAAACTGAAGGTTCTCCTTAGCGTAAAATGGTTTGTAATAGAAAATGTTACTTGTAACCGTTAGGTATCCATTCAAAATTGTCAAGCATTTTACGCGGTGGCTAACCACACCTATCACTGCAATTGAAGCAGAGGCACAAGACAATGAGCAGCACACTGTTACGTACTGCTCTGAGGTCATTATTACTTGTAGTTTTAAAGATTTATCAGTGGCGAAGAGTGGATATTAAAAGAGAAATCTATTGGGATAACAGTTCAACAGCACTTATGAGTGAACCACTGACTCGCCCACTTATGAGTGAACCACAAAAACAACCAATGAAAACAGCAAAAATCACTATTTATGTCCAAAAAACAAAGTATTTATATTATAAGGTATAATGCTACCAATTATAGGACGTCGCTCTTGCGCTGTCTACTAATGAGACACTCTATCTTTCTCGCTTGCACCTGTGCATTTGGCACATGGAGACATGGAGCTTTTATCATAGAAGTGAAAGACAGGTGTTCAGCAGGCAGTACTTTGCTATGGGTAAAGGACGTAGACGCTAGACGCTTCTTGCTTCGTCGGATAAAATAATCAGGCGTTTCATTTATTCATATTATGTCAAAATGATATTGATATAAATTAGTCTGTTATACATTATATCTCGAATAACCTATTTGCTAATGCAATGGACAATAGACTCTTCGCCTCTGGTATTCATAACAATTCGAATTGTGCTTGTGGTAACATAAGGTTGTTTTATGTCCAGTATTGTAACGCGTAATTTTCGAATTTTTCTACTCGTATCTTTATAGATTAAGACATTGTACTTTGTAATACGGTGCACATACGAAACTATGTACTTGTTTCTCAATTATAATATAACTACACTATTTGTAATAATATTTAAAACTGTTCTTCTATCAGACACGGTCGTGTTATGATTTAAGGTCGACAAGATTTGACAATATCCAAGAATCAAAATAGAACTTGTCTGCTTTATTTTGGTGTTACAGTAGTTTTTGCAGTACTGTTTTGTATTATGTATGTAGTATAATTAAGTGTGCAGTGTTGTGACTGAGGCGTATGCCCTAGGACTTCAGGCAGCTGAGAATCAACCGGCTAGAATTGGTAACACTAACGTTAATTACCACAATTTTGCTTCGTAATATTTATTTCAGCAGATTTTGTACCTTATTTTTTTGCTGTCGGGTGCGTGTCTAACAACGCTTCATTGTGATGATATCCTTTGCGTATAATAATATGGTCACGGATTAATGCATGCTCGCTCGCTATTGTTCCTTTTGCTTACTCTTACGCTGTGTTGTTTTTCATTTAATGTAAATGTTTGTAAATGAGAATAGAGTCTGTAACACTCAGTTTTATTTTTTATTTAATTGACTCCGTTCTCGTTTAGTAAGGTGACAATTTCTACTATAGAAAAATGGTACATAAAAAAAAGAAATACGACATATCAAGTCGTGCTAATGATAAATGGTGTACCAGTTTTCTAAATAGTCCAATGAACACAGATTCAGGGTTGTGGGGTGTTGCAGCGCCTACAAGGCAGAGAAGCGAACATCGCGTGAGGCTCGGCGTGGCGGCAGCAGCGCGGGGGGCGGCGGGGAGGCGCGCGGGGAGAGACGCCAGGGGGCCACGCCCGCCGTGGCGGCGCCTCTCGACGCACACCACGCGCGCAGATATAATGATATGGCGCCAAAGTGAGTACATACCGCCATGATACACTATAGTCTGCCAACGCCACCTATCGTCCGATCCGATGAATTTCGCAAGCCCTTAATGCACGATTGGACGATTAACGGCGCTAGGTACATTCATGCATGTGTCGCAAGCGGACTCGCACCAAGAACGGCAGGGTAACGGTGTCGGTGTGTGGGTTGCAGGCACTGGGAAGAAGGCCCTCCCCGCTACCACGGGCCTACTGAGTACGAGCGCCCCCCGCCATACTACTATCCCGGACCAACGTGAGTACCCTTCCAATCCGCACTCGTGCAAACACCTTCCTGCATATCAACCTGTGTCCTTCGTACACCCGATTGCGCTTTCGAAGTAGTATGTTTCGGCCCTGGTACTTAATTTCAAAATGCATGAGCACGTATAATCGGCTTATATCTATCAAAGATTTAGATTTCGTATATGTGAAATCTTTATTTGTTCATCAAATAAAAGGTTTTACATCATCGTATTAGACTGACTTCCAAACCAGTGTGATACAGTATCATCGGAGCCGGAAGACACAATTACTAGAGATATTTCACAGGTTTCTCTATTGCACAGAGTTTAAGTTGTTTTGTCATTCTGTTGGCTTACTTTGTTTTACTCAAATAAGTCCCATAATGGTGTTGCAATGTTGTTTATTTAAGTACAATAAAAAGTGGCGAAGATAGCAACGCATTTTGACCCATTAAAAGATTATTTATAAAAAGGCGCACATTATTCACTTGCAAGGCTAGCATGACAGGGCGCGACTAGCGCGAGAGCGACATGTAGGGCGAGTTACTGCTATGCTCGCGCACATCTCTTTCTGTCGTGTTAGACCTACAGTACCCTTATTTTTATCACGGTATGGTTTGTCTGGCTCGAAGAACCAATGATAATTTACATTACATTACAAGTAAACAGAACGCCCGTTTAAAATGTCGTAACATATTTTTTCAGTGATAGACAGTAAACTGGCGCTAACGGATCTCGACGACGACCTACTAAAGTACTGAGGCCTTTCCCCGCCACCCCATCCTTCTTCAAAAACGTACAACGCAAATATGGAAACAGAGGAAATTATAATATTTTTACACTAACATGCGTATAAGCTGCTATACTATTAGGTGGCTCTTTATAACTTGCGTGGAAAACTTGGGTCATTTTAAATCGTTCCGTCGTTCATTGTTCACTCATTCGTTCTTCCTCCGATTGGCCAAAATATTTGTTTGAAAATTGTCAAGAAAATAGTCAATGCAATTCCAATCTCCGCCTTTTTTGAACGAATGAATGAATGAAAGTACGAAACGCCATTTTGTTTGACCTGAAATCAATGTTGTGAATAAATATTTACTGTAGAACCATATACAACTTATATTAAGGTATAAATTCCAATGATGTCAAAAATTATGAACTTTACATTCGGCGACTTGATTTACACTACTAGCACACGTATGCGACGTAGGCTACTTAACAGTTCAACACAGTTTAAAGTCGCCATATGTAAATGACTAGTTGTAATCAATGTTATTCAAGTAATTTAAATATTACTTTATACTATTAGTGCTATAAGTCTGGAGTTAGGTCTCAGTCACAGTAACTGCCATATTTTGATTGGCCAAAAGTTTCGGCTCAAAGTTGCTAGGGTAAGGGCTCTTCCTAGGAAGAGCTCGTTTGGCTTTAAATCTTTTCAGAAGTTAATACTTTATATTGTTTATTAGTAGCGGGAGTGCCGCACAAATTTCATTTCTATATCTCAGAGATTCTGTTTTATTGTAGCTTATTAGAAATTCTTTAGAGTAATATTGGTACTTCTTCGCGTTTTCGTATAGTGTCTCAATACACGTGGAAACGAAAGGGGTTATAAGTAGTAAATACCACTCGTTCATCACGTTAACCATCACGGCGACGAGATTGTAATGCATTTATATTTAAATTAGAGTTACGAATTTTACTCTTTATTAATCTAAGTAACTTAAGTAGAAAGGACTGCGGTAAGGACGCTATGCCAAACTCAATTCATTACACATTAATTAAGTTTCTATATATTCTAGCCAGCGTGAAAGAAGCTTTATATTCCTTTATTTGTATAAAATTTTTAAATGAAACAATAATTTTTTCGTAACATTCAGTGTTAAATTTTTTAGAGTAACTTTCACGCTTAGCATAAATTATATTAGTTAATTAAATAATTTTGGTTAGTGCTAGTCTACTTACACTAGCCGTTACGTCATATCTTATTTTAGTTAAAATTTGTGATTATCCAATTTAGTTAATTGTAATTTTAATAATTTTTAAACTAGCTACGTTTTTTAATTGTTGACATGACTGCGAGCGAAGTGCAAACGTCTTTTTGGTGTATTGTAAAATGTGTCATATGTACTCGTTAGTTAGGCCCTTTTTCAATTATTCATGTCTAATGCCAAATAACATTTATAAGATAGGATTTGGTTGGGTCCCAGTAATATTGTTTTAAATGTCTATGGTGCTTATTTCGATGAAATGACTTGGTTATTTTTTTCGTGTAGCGGTATACGTTACAAAAAGGAGCGAACGTTGAGAGTCAAACTCCAGTTGTTAAGCACGGAGTACCGCGCTCATACTAAGTTCGGGCTCCAAAAATTTGCATAGAAAACAAAGCTATTAATTAGTATGATGCGCTTGCTGGGGCGTGATGGCAAATGAGGTTTGAGGTTTAGGCGACAGAATCTTCGAGATTTTTTCCGTGCTTTTATGGAAAATGCAAACATGTATGATAATGTATAAAACAACGAGTTTTGCCGAATAAAACGGAGAAATGCTAAAGTCACGTGTTATGCTTATTTCAGTGAATTCAGAACTTTAAAAGGCTCCTCTGTAAACTTGGCAATTTCGACATACGATACGTTACGTTGGGAGAGGTTGAGATATATATTCTTGCAATTTTCTAATACAGGAAAATCTGAAGAACTGTTCTATCGCCGCGTGCGCTGGGTCTGTAGACACCTTTGATCTCTTGCTGACTGCACTGTCTTCCCGCCTCGTTTACAATTTACATTTTTATTGAGAAAACCCTTTACTCTTACTATAAAATTTTCTGCTCACTTTATCCTAGACTCGAATTTACACTGTTGAGTTTAGAACTTTTTGTAGAATCCTTTTTTGTAAGGGATTTTTAATTGTTAGTTAAAATTCGGAGCAAAATTACCTAGTAAGTTAATGCAAAAAGAACCGAAATAAAAATTGATCTCTGTCATGTGGATTGTAGTGAATAAAATTAATGAATGTGTTATATGCATACGAGTGTAGTAATGTAATATTGCTTGTGAATTTTTACAACAAAATTGATACATGAAGCTGTAACCGCTGCTCAATTGTTGTGCGGTTCTATGCGCTCGAAGCAACCGGGGCTCTTGCTCCGCGTTTAGTAATTATAAAAGTCACGAATAAATTGCTCCACGCGCGTACTATCTGTGGTACTAGAGTTGTGTCTAACGCACCCACAATAAATGTGTCTAAAGACCTTACATGCGGTTGATACGCATTCGTAGTAGATACGCGTGCGGAGCAAAATTTGCGTGCAGGAAAAAGGCCGTTATTGTTTTAAAATTTATTTATTTATTCTCTACGTAGAGAATGGCAGAGCGATGGTTGTATAGCACGTTAAAGATCGATCTAGGCATAATGGTTCATACGTATTAGAGTTCTAGGTTCATGGCTGGAAGTGGTACATAGAACTGAGAACGCATCAGAAGCCTTTAACAGTTACCAAAGAGATAGGCACCGGTGGTCAAAAGGAAGTTGAAACTCACTTCTATTATTGATAATTTTATCTAGCTTTGTGTACGTCAATATGTTGCTTACCGTGCTTTGATGCGTACTTTGTTCACTTAACACATTACTAATTTCGTCCAGTACGAACTTAATATTTGAAATAGGTGCCTATAGAAAAACTTTATTGTTTTCTCGATTATTATGAGGTACTCGTGAAAACAACAATTATAAACATCTTGTCCGACTCCCACTGGAGTAGGTAGATACTATGAACCTCCAACTTTCTCTTAAAAATTGTACCGTGGTCTACGAAACACCCCGTATTACGATTCCATAAGAAAAGTGTCGTGTTAAGATGTACCACTCGTTGTATAGACTTGTAAAAGCGCAAAGAGAATCGATATCAATGCTGTCTGTACACGTGAGTGAAAGAGATAAGTATATTGCTATCTGTTATCTTCGCGAAGTAAGTTAGGCTTGGTGCAGTGAGTTAAAACTAGGATAGATATAGTGATTGTAACGTATTGTACCGTAATTCCGTACTGTATGGTAACATAGTATGTAATAATGTAAGGTAGTGTATGTGTTTTTAAGAGCGTCGCAGTACCGCGAAGGCTGTGTATCGCAGATCTGGAGTGTTGCCACGAATGTAAAGGATAAATACATTTCATTATCTTCATATTTGTTTTTGTTATTTCCTCCTTATCCTTTGTGTACAGCGATGTTCTAAGATGCCTGACCCCTAACCATCGAGTATATAACCAGAAATAGAGACGAAATAAGGGACATCCATCCCTGGCAACACATCAGGCAAATGGGCCTTTTATCAATTTTAAATATCAATTCTCGTTTGCGCTGAAATAACAAATTAGAAAACGAAATAGTATAGCGCCAACCACTGACCTGTGTGTGTACGTCTCCATATATTCCATAAACATTCTGTATTTATTGTAATAAAACAATTGGGGGCGTTCCATTCAGTGGTGTGAGAAACAGCAAAACATCTAATTACAAAACAATCTGAATCACATTTCATCGGTAATTAAATATGAACTATGTAATTTTTCAATTTTCATCGATTATAGTAAAGATCAAGTTGAACTGGTCGATTGAAGTGAAACAATTGACGACACCCGTTAATTGTTTCGAATTCGGGCTGGCCAATCGGAGCGCAGTTGTCACCTTAATGATTTGGCAGAATAGTTTTCAAATATGACATTTCGTTTATTTATTTCTGGCTTTATACTCGATGCCCCTAACCGACCATTTGTGACCGTCAGGATGGCTGGTCGCCTGTGGCGCCTGGCACTGAGTGTATATTCAAAAATTGCTACCTATTTGCTACTATTTGCTACCTTTTCTAAATAATTGCTACCTATGATATATTCTGAGAAATTAAAAAAAATTTTTGACCAGCCATTCTGACGTCAGGATGGCGGGTCGCCTCTTTGTTCAGCATGAAGGGAGCAGATTTTCCAGAAGTATGTATTACCAATAATTGCTACCTATTTGCTACCTTCACGAAATAAAGGTATATCCTTCGTATCTACATTAGTTTCGTTCTGAGTAGATGATGTGAGCCATGTGCTTGGTGGTAAGCGACACGCTTGTCCGTAGCCTGTCCAGGGTATCCCGGACTTAGTAATTAAAATCCCAAATTAACCAACACTCTTTATTTTCAATAGTCAAAAACACTCAGACGCATTCTCTCTTGTTAACCTTACATACTAAAGTATTGCCTAACTAAGAGATACGTAGACATGGTACAAGTGCAGCTTGGTAGGTACTATTACAAATAGATAATACGCTAATAAATACTGGTGTAGTGGAATCGCGGCTAGTTTTGGAGATCAGGGCACACAGGGCGGCAGCGGCGGCGGTGCTCTGTGGGTAGAAAAAGGGTGATTATTTCAAGGTGTACGAAGGTGTAGTTAGGTATTTATTATTGACACAAAGATCGAACAGTAAAACTAAAATCGTTCCATTCGATTGGACTTGAACCAGCTTCTGTCGCCTCAACGTGGCTACTTTAAAAATCTAAAGTGGTATATAGTAAAAACATAATATTCTATAAAAGAAATATAGTTACATACTTGTTACTTAATAATTAATAATAAAATAAACTGGAGTTTGATTTCTTGTCAGACAAGAAGCCTAAATATTATATATCTTACTCTAAATATTTCTTTGATTTCATTTTACGCACACACTCAACCCAGGCGCTAGGGAAACCCTGTGTCGCCAGTGCTATGGACACACACGTACACAACCACAAATGACACCCAAACTCACGAGAGAAATAAATGCAGGCCATACAAATATTTTCAGTGTTTCTGCGTGGCAGATCAGCATGGCAACCATTCGTGTCACGGCGGCAGTTAGCACCGAAAGCCAAATAGTTAAATAGGATTTTCTTATCAATAAGGAATTCAACGGTTTGAAGGAAAACATCATGAATTCAGGGATCGGAATAGGTAGACTTTTTTTACCTAAACTTCGAGGAACATAGATATGGAGACTGCCTTACGACAATATTTTTTAGGTCCTGGACCTTTTCGGGCAGGTATACTATATTTATCTTAACTTTGCGACGCACAGAGGGTCGGATCTGCGATATTGCGGACATTGGATTTTTTTTCACGATACCTCTAAAAAAATGCCAATCGAGAGATCTTATTATCCTAATTAAATTTGTTATATCACATTTTGCCATAAATCTAATAGTTTAGTAGGAAAAAATAAAATGTGTATTTTTTGTACTGGACAATAACTTTAGTGCCCCATCGTTACAAAGTCTTAGTCGATCCAGTCTTGGAATTACTACAGACGTATTATTAAACATATCTACTATAGATTTGCCTATTCACTACTTATACGCGTCAGAAAATGTGCAATATAAGCAGTGAATTTAAGATTTATGACAAATGTGATATGACAATATTTAGTTAGGACAATAGGATCTCTCGATTGGCATTTTTTTTAGAGACCCACTGTATCGTAAAGTTAAGATAAATATAGTGTACCTGCCTGTCCCCAATTATGTCGATTTTTAAAGTGCTTCAGTGATTTCCCGAATCTCGAACAGGTCCAGGTCCTAAAAAATATTGTCGTAAGGCAGTCTCCATTTCCTGTCTATGTTACTCGAAGTTTAGGTAAAAAAACTCTACCTATTCCGATTCCGACATGCAGGTTTCATCATGAATCAATCGTAGAAGGTTCACAAGCAGAGATGGGCAGTGGGTTAAACCCACTCAACCCGACCGGGTTTAATCCATTTCTCTTCAAAATGGTGAGAAGAGACGGCGAGTACGGAATTTGATATAATTTCATACTTATTACAAATTTCGACGTTAAAAACTGTTTTAAGACGAAAAAGAAGCAACTCCAGACAATCCCGCCTTGCAATCTTATGGATTTTCACTAATGATTCGATTTTTATGAAGTGCATACGATTTAACGATTTTTTGTACCGATTTAGCGAATAAGTAAACCGACACTTCTATTCTAGATCAGAAAGCAATCAACATTTTGTGATAATATCATTCAATTCTCGATTTATAACAATTATTTAATTGGAAATAGTTTTTGCCTTTGATGGGATTGGGCATTAACAAAGCGCCGGGTTAAAACCCTAGCTTGGATGGGCTTGCTTGGCTTGGGAAACATTCGGAGCACACAAAGGACACATGCCCAGTAATGGGACGTATAAGAATTTCCTGTCGTAAACTAGCCTAGATGCTCCTCACGTGTGTGTAAAAGCACCTTAGTGCACAAAAATTTGTTGAACTGGTATGGTTGCACTTTTACTAGATAATCTTTGGGCTACCAAAAGTTGCCACTTTAAGGTGGTATACCAACACGTAGGCGCGGGAGTCTTGGCGTCTCCAGTAGCTGCAACGTTTTGCTGCTCGGCGCGCCGTTGCGCCTGCAGCAGCAGCTGGTCCAGATCGGCGCGGCAGGCGCAGTGCAGGAACTCGCGCGGTCGCACGCCGCGGAACACCTCTGCCAGAGACGGCTTTACGTTGTAGAAGATTATCGTCTGCCCGCGCGCATGGAAGTCATCGATCAGAGACTTGATGCCCTGCACAGAGAATAATCGAATTGTCAAGTTCAAAGTTTTTTTTGCAGGATGAAGTCGCTCGGACTCTCTTAGTTATTAGGTCCTACACACTACAGCCATGGCTGAACGAATGGGTTCTCCATGCATTTGATTGATTAAAGTGTTCCTGCATCTGCGAGAGTATAAGGGCAGCCTTATTCTGTTATCGAAGAAATTACAAAACAATGGAAGTGCCGTAAGCCTCGATTACGATCAGAATCGCTGTCGCCAAAAGTCACAAAATCATATGATAAATGCTATGAAATCTTGATAATGAATGGTCGTAGATTATAATTTAAAAAGCAGTAACAAATTCTGAACTGCTAATATAATTGAAACTTGCAAGTTACGACGTTTTGACTTCATATTGAAATTTCAATCAATGTGTTGCCATCTAGCGGTCAATAACTGAACAACGAAGAACGTGTAAAATTCGAGATATTTACTAAGTTCTCCAAAAAGAATCGACCATATTGCAGCGGTATAAAATTTACATTCGTTTCTTGCAACAAAAAAAATTATTAAATATTATTAAAATTACATAAAATAAGACTTAATATATGTAAGACTATCATGGACTTGCACTCAAAAGTAACCAAAAATAAGGCATTTTTCCACGATTTCCGAGGTTTTGCGTGAGATAATTGACACGCGATACGATTTAGCGCACTGGCTCAAGTATGTGAAACTCCGCGTACTGTTGGCATACGTGCTACGCCCACTAAGCACTTCTACTGTATTTACAGTTCTGTGCGCGGCGAACAATTCTGAAACGTACCTTGGCAGCAGTGAAATCAGCAGCTTGTACGTGCGTCGCATCAATAACCAGAGGCACGCGTGGCGCGTCAGGGTGCCGTTCAGCAGCTTTACGCAGCGCCCGACGCACAAACTCGGCCGAAGGGAAAGCTAGTGCACGGTCCACCACGGCCACGACATGTTGCACACCATGTGTGCTCACCGCCTGCGTCACCCGCACTGCTGGCCGTGCAGATGCATACAAAAGGAATACGAGGTTGACGCCGATGCCAATCACGATGCCGAGTTCCAGTCGTGTTAGGAGGCATGCGGCGAATGTTACCACGGCAGGGATTATGTCCAATTCTGCGAACAAAAATCCAAGACTTTGTGAATTTCCAAATCTTACAGCAAAAAATTAAGATCACTCACATCCGTTTGAAACCAACTTTTCAATCACTCACTTTTGGTCCTCCAAATGGGCTTGAAGACGTGTAGCTCCATCATAAAGACTACAGCGGCGATGATTACCGCTGCCAGAGACGCTTTCGGAATGTAGAAGAAATATGGAGTAAAGTACTGGAAATTTACAAAACGTTCGTATTAATACCCTACAAGTAAACGGTATGATAGTTGACTGTAGTGAACAAAATGTACAAGAAAAAAAGTACCTGTAGCGATAACAAAACGAGTGCACCGGTATATAGGCCTCCTGCGGTGGTAGCGACACCCGAAGCGTGGTTGACTGCACCTCGTGACAGAGCACCAGACACCGGCATGGACTCTACTAGTGCAGATGCGATATTGCACACGCCCAGAGCCAGCATTTCTTGAGTTGCGTCTACGTACTTGCCCTCCGCTGTGAACAGTGTATATGCAGGGTTCCGTCATTCGCTCAAGGTTACGCGATAAGTGCTTACTGCTGAGTGTACCGACGTCGATACAAGTCTTATATTTATGAGCATTCGGCTCCGCACAACTGCACACGGCGGGCAACTTTATTTCCACCTCTCTGAGCGCGTCTTTAGGTTCCATTTTCCTCGTAGTGAGCGCCTGGTGCCATTTGTCAGATTTAGTAGGCTGTAATACGAGTGCCGTAGGTATTTTCGTTTCGTAATTTGTATGAGAGTGTGTTACGTAGTAACTAATTAAGTAATCTGTGGTGTAGGTCCTTAGAGTGAGAGTATTGTCAAAAAAGCGAAATCAAACATGAAATTTTAAATTACGAACAAAACGTTTGCATGCCTAGATGGTCAGCGACTTACTGAGTTTACTGTATGTACAGTCAGCGACTCTGTAGATACAGAACGTTGTCCTTATGGATAGCAAATTTGGTTTACGAATTCCTCATAGCATTCTCTATGATACCGTATATCAAAAATGTCTTTTTTAATATTAATACGAATTTTGATAGTTTTATTGTACAGACATAGATGTGTGTCTAAGATTTATTGGATTGTATGTTGATGGCTATGATAATTGGTTAGTATACGAAACACTTAAACCTGGTTTCAAAATTTAGCACGTACGTGTAAGGCGGCCTCCGCGGTCCGTGATTTAAAAAATTTGCTCTTATAGCTGACTGTCACGACAGCCATACACCGGTCCCACCCTTTCATATTAATAAGAGCAGTCCAATGGCCTTGGAATTATCTACGTCTAGCATTTGATGTATATATAAGTTGAGATGACAATGACGCGACAAAATTCCAAATGTGCTTATAAATCAATCGAAATGATGAACAACAAAATATATGATTTTCGATTTTTTTCCAAAAGTTATATGAAGAGCGTTGCTGTTTTACTAGTGGAACAAGTTGATAAGAAATATATTAGTGCCAGTTTTGACTATCGAGATTTATTACGCTCGTTACGTATTGTGCAATTTTCTTACAAATTACCTATCATTTTCATAGCCCAATCAAAATGTTTTACGTTCCACAATAATTGTTAAAAAAACCGATCATTAGGTAATGTGTGTGCAAATACCAATATACCAGCAGATTTTTTTTAATTTTTTTTATAAAGGCATTTCTGTATTGCTTTAGATCTTTGAAAATAAACCCCTATCTAAACAGTCTCGAAACTATTCGGTACAAAGTCAATAATGACATTAACTTCGACCACTCCGGCGGCGTAATACTATCTGTTCGTTCTTGGCTCCGCTTAAAGTTACAAAACATATTACGTGTAGATCTATTTCTTCAACATCGTCAACTCATTCTGTCATAATGCAAATACAAAGATCCAGCTGGAATTGAACCAG